GTTTAACTGGAGATGTTTAAGGTCAAACATCTACAATCAGGACAAAAAGAGTTAAAAGAACACGATGTGAGGCATGTAAGTAAACAAGGATCAGAGCAGGTGAAGGTTATGAAGATTAAAGATGCGGGACACAAGTAAACCTCCGGGTTTCAGTTTCCGCACACGGATCCAGTGTCTTGCTGAACGTGTGCGTCTACGGTGTTTTGTCTGACTAAGTGGCTCAGTTGATTGTGTTTACCTCATGTGTCTGAGAAACAGAAACCGGACCTCTGGTTCTACCTGCAGACAGACGTCCTGCAACAGGACAGGTAACAGGTAGCGCTTGTAAAGAAATATAGACAAAAACATCTAATGTCACATAAAATCACAAATAATGAATAGAATTAAAATTAAATCCTCTTTTCCTTTAAACTGCCTAAAAAAGTACACCTTATATTTTACAAAGGTGACAATAGTTTTTCCTTTCTTATGTTTTCCAAGTTTACCAGAATATTCTGAATACATTAAATATCTAGAACTGGGATTATAATTGTTAATTAATAAGTCATTCAACTCAGGGGTTAATTAATGATTATTCCTTAAAAGGTTATAACTGTAATTTGCTAAGTCACCAGGGTTCTTAGTCTCTAAGTTTTTTACTCAAGGTTGGACTCCAGTAACCTGACTCCGCCATGATGGATTTGCTCTGTATATCCATCTGGAAACCTTCCGTTGAAGTAATTTTGGGAATTTTGCGAAAATACTGGTTAGCTGATTGGCCTATGTTGGTGATAGACGGGTCAAATAAACCAATCAGATCAACGAAGCATATGACGTACTAACAGAGCGACGACGAAGAGGAGCCAATTGATAGATCAAACTCTTGCTGAAACCAGTCGGGAGAAGAGCAAAAACATCTTTTCCTCTGAGAAAAGCCTCCAGAGCAGTGTTTTGCTCTTCTTTCAGTGAAGAAATACTCTGTAATTCCCATAAAACTTGCTCGATAGCCACGCTAACGCTAGTTTCATCGGCTGAAGCCGCCATGTTCTTTAGACTGAACTGTCGCGCTTCTTGTTGCGTCACACCTCAACCCGCCTCAAAGCCAACGCTGATTGGACGTTTGTTTGGTGAACGGCTCCACATTTTCTTTAACGTAGAGTCTCCAGACTGATCTGCGAGTGAAACCTTGGAAGCTCGCGAGATCAGGATGGTCTCACGAGGCTAGGACTCCTGGACCAGCTGTTAAAATCAAGTTGTCTTTCACCAATTTAGTAATTTAGACTATGGCTATCAGCAAAGGTATTAATCACCCACAAATAAATTTGTCTCTTTTCAATCAGATGTTCCTGAAAGCAGAGTGAATCTGGCCTGAGTGATAACAGGTTAAAATACTTTGGTACCTTTCATCCATCCATCCATCCTCTGTCACGCTTTATTAGCTAATGGTCCCTATCACAGGATTATTATTATTGTATCTGATAACCATGCAAACACCAAACACTACTGAAAATAAGTACAAGTAAATAAAAGCAAATAAAAAGGGGTTTTTAGAGTCCGGTCCTCTGCCCCCTTTGTAATTCACAGATCTTTTCACCTGTTCACAACAGAAACTTCTACTCAGCCTATTGACAATAAATGGCATCAAAAGGTCGTGGTGTGACCTGGGATGATGCAGGGAGGAGGACGCTATCCAGGCACATAATTAATAATAATTTAACTTTATTGATCTCACATTGGAGAAAGTTCCCCATGGCCAGCAGTGGGCTGCCATCATGGCGCGCCTGGAGAGCAATCGGGGGTTCAGGGTCTTGCTCAGAGACCCAGAGTGGCAGTCTGTGGGAGCGGGTTTCGCATTCAAATCCTGAGGATTCCAATTTCGATGCCCTAACAGAATGAGCGCCACCATTTTTGTTTGAGCAATTCCTGCCTTGAGAGCTGTGGCATAGCGGACCGTCGTTGAGAGGCAAGGAACCGTTCTACAGTGATGCATAAATGTTCATAAGGGACCAAGCTCGGCACGGTTAACTGATCCAAGCTCGGTCGGAACTTGGCAAGGATCGGTTTCAGAGGGGTAGTGTAAATGGGGAAACAGTCTCTGCTTGTCACTAGCCTCTCCGCACCCAGAGGTTCCTGTCTCCGACACTGGTGATTCTTGCCAAGAGACACTGCTGGTCGGACTTGTCAGTCTGGAAGCCAAACGTAGACAGTTATTGGGATTTCATGTTCAGCGCCAATCCTGGTTGGATGCCATATTTACTGTATGTTGTGATTTTGATACATTAAATTCCCAGCCAGCTGGGAATTTATATTTCTGATACTTTAAGATGCTTATTGCACTCCCTGGTAGGGGTGGTAAATATCTTAATTAATCAGATATTATTTCTGCAATTATATATTGTTTATGAACACACCCTCTACTAGCTGTGTGTTAGAACAATAGATGAAAGAGTGATTCGATCACTAATCATGGTCAAGCTGTTAATTCTGCACATACATGGAATAAATTCACCACAATGTATTTCAGTTTAAAACTAGCGAAACTTCACTAAACTAAATTATTTAGTAGAAAGAGGAAGAGAAACCATGGTTGAAAACCATGTTACAGTTAAATTTTGTGTTTGAAAACCAAAGTTTATCTGGAAGAATGTGGAATGTGATCAAATTAGCTTTTCACTAATTGAGAGAAATTGAAATGTTTTCAGACCAATTCACAATGCTAATCCATGAGGTGAATAAACATTATTTGCTTAATCAGGAACCAATAACCTTTAGCGAAGTGATTCTTTACCCTCTTTGAAATAGCTAGAAGCGAATAGACATCAGGATTCCACTAAATGACTCTTGGTCATACTTGCTGCTTGTGAGCCAGTCATCATGTCAAGATGAAATATGGACACTGGTTCCCAATGTCCAAAAACCATGATCATGGCATATGGCATAACACAGTATAAGAAGAGGAACTCCCTTGTTCTCTGGGATCTAGGAGCTCATTTACCAGAACCTCACGCACTGTGCATGTGCAATCAAGGGAGTTCTTCTTCTACTGTGTACGTTTGACTTCCAGATTGACGAGTCTGACCAGCGGCGTGTCTCGGCAATGATTCAGAAGTGCGGATTTTGGACATATAGTGTGAGCAAATTGATTGCATCACAGTGTCAGCCGTACACTGTAAGAACATATATCGTGGGCTGTGAACTTTTAAACCCAGCGGTTTTGTCGCACAGTTTGAGCGGCAGCTCAGTACAAAGACTGAACTTGTTGTACAATGTATGCCTGTACTTAGATAAACATAGAGATATATTATCCACAGAAACGTGGGAATCTTAAGTATAATATAAACGCGATCACCAAGCACAAGCATCTTAATCAAAAAGTAAACTGACACTCCTAAAAAATGTCAATGACAACAAAATCCACCAGCTGTTTACCAGATAATCTTCCTGCCTGTTGGAAGCAGAGAGCTTAATGTCATGATCATGGCACTGATGACTGGATTATTAGTTAATTTATTCCACCTGCTTAGCTCTGTCCAGATTTCATCCAGCCTCACCTGACACACCTGTTCCACCTCCTATTTATGCTGCCTTGCTGCTTGGTGGAGCAGTGGGTAGCACTTGGGCCTCGCAGCAAGAAATATTAAAGTTCGATTCCCAGTCCAGGATCTTTCTGCATGGAGTTTGCATGTTCTCCCTGAGCATGCGTGGTACTTCTCCGGGTACTCTGGCTTCATTCCACTGTCCAAAAACATGTCTGTTAGGTTAATTGACTACTTTAAATTCTCCTACTGTAGGTGTGACTGTGTGTGTGAATTAAAATTTCGCTGTTCTTGTGACAATTACAATAAAGATAAATTGAATTGAATAAATTGAATGATTGTTTGTCCTGTTTGTCTCTATGTTGCCCTGCAATGGACTGGCGATCTGTCCAGGGTGGACCCCGCCTCTCACCTGTAGACAGCTGGAGATAGGCACCAGCATCCCTTGCAATCCCGCTTGGGATAAGCGTGACGGAAAATGGATGGATGGATGTTTGCATCCATCAGTGCCAGATTATTCCTGAGCATTTGGTGTAGAGAGCTTTCAAGCCTGCCCCTGTCTGATCTGTTTGCCTAGCCTGTCCTCCGACTCCTGTAGGATAATTCTGTGGACTGAACCTGGATCTGCCTCTTGACTTCGCCCTGTGGATTATCCTGCCTTTCTTCTTCTGCTCGGGTCTGATTTCCTGTCAATTCTGCAGCCTTCTAGGCTTCTGCATCTGGAACTCTCTGGCTGCGTTTGCTGCGTCTTATCAGCCAATCGGCTGGAATCATCCTCGTTTTCATGGACTGAACTGTCAAACCAGGTTAGTGACTCACGCGTTCATAATCATCCATCAGATTATTGGAGACATTAACCTGTGTTTTTCTCTTATAGACATTCCTGTGATAGACGCCCTAGCTGCTGCTTCTGCAAAACCACTGGTTTAGATAAATGCTTTAAGTTATTCCACCTTCTGTTCTGCCTCAATTCTGGGTCCTTTGTTCTGAGTCCTGAAACTTCATCCTGATTCTGTTTAAGATTTGAACTGATTCCGATTCAGTTCTAATTCTGATCTTGACTCTGGTTCAAACTAAATTCATAATTCCAATTCTGATCCTTTTTCAGATATTGATTCTATTGTGGTGAATATTCTGACTAATTCAGACACTGATTTTAATTCCAGTTCTCTGGTTCTTCATAAAAAAAACACTTTTAACAGATCTAAACAGCAAAGTTGGGATAGCTGGAATGTCTCAAAGTCTTTCCATCTCTGTCCCATCCATCATGAAGTGCTGCAATCAGTCCACTGGTCTTTAATGTGTGCAGGCAGAGAGGAGGGAAAGAAAGAGTGACAAAGTAAAAGACTAAAGGAGCAAAGGAATGACAATGAACAACAGAGAGGAAGAAGTGAGAGAGTGAGAGAAGAGGAGGACGATGAAGGGAGGGTCGAGCAAGCGGATGGGAGGAGGAGGAGCCTGATGAAGAGGAGGGATGACAGGAGAAGTGGCTGTTGCCGCGGCAGCAGAGCAGGACAGATCTGAGACGGAACAACAACTCCTCCTCCTCTTTTTTTTGTTTTAATTCCCCTTCTTTCTTCATCCTCCTGGGCTCATCAGCTGATTTCACTTGGAAAACCTGCTGCTTCCTCTTCCTCCTCTTCGTCCTCAGCTTCATCAACGCGCGGGCAGCGGAGGTAAGTAGGATGAAAACTGCTCCAGATTCAACGCTGAGAATAGAAAGAAGAGAAGGGAGTGGAGGAGCGGGACGGGACGACTGGGAGGAAGAGTTTGGAGAGAGAGGCTGAACTTCCAGAGAGAGAGAGAGAGAGAGAGAGAGAGGGGGGGGGCAGAGATGGGATCTGTTTGGATTCAGGACAGAAGAGCAAAGAAACCAACACAGCAAAGTGTTTGGGTCACAGTCAGGGTGTGACACCGGTTAGTGTGGGAGCAATTGGTATCTGATCAGTTAGTTTGTGATCAATTAGTGTGTGATAGTTAGTGTGGGAGCAATTAGTGTCTGATCAGTTAGTGTTTGTGTAATCAGTTAGTGTGTGATCAATTAGTGTCTGATCAGTTAGTGTGTGAACAATTAGTGTGTGATCAGCTAGTGTTTGTATAATCAGTGTGTGATCAATTAGTGTATGATCAGTTGGTGTGTTAACAATTAGTGTGTGATCAGTTAGTGTCTGAACAGTTAGTGTGTGATCACCTAGTGTTTGTGTAATCAATTAGTGTGTGAACAATGAGTTTGTGATCAGTTAATGTTTGTGTAATTAGTTAGTGTGTGATCAATTAGTGTGTGATCAATTAGTGTTTGTATAATCAGTGTGTGATCAATTAGTGTATGATCAGTTGGTGTGTGAACAATTAGTGTGTGATCAGCTAGTGTTTGTGTAATCAGTGTGTGATCAATTAGTGTATGATCAGTTGGTGTGTGAACAATTAGTGTGTGATCAGTTAGTGTCTGAACAGTTAGTGTGTGATCACCTAGTGTTTGTGTAATCAATTAGTGTGTGAACAATGAGTTTGTGATCAGTTAATGTTTGTGTAATTAGTTAGTGTGTGATCAATTAGTGTGTGATCAATTAGTGTTTGATCAATTAGTGTCTGTTCAGTTAGTGTGTGATCAATTAGTGTTTGATCAATTAGTGTATGATCAGTTGGTGTGTGAACAATTAGTGTGTGAGCAATTAATGTGTGATCAATTAGTGCGTGATCAGTTAGTGTGTGATAAATTAGTGTCTCATCACTTAGTGTGTGAACAATTAGTGTGTGATCAGTTAGTGTGTGAACAATTAGTGTGTGATCAGCTAGTGTTAGTGTTATCAGTTAGTGTGTGATCAATTAGTGTATGATCAGTTAGTGTGTGTAATCAGTTAGTGTGTGATCAGTTAGGATGTGATCAGTAAGTGTGTGATCAGTTGGTGTGTAATCAGTTAGGATGTGATCAGTTAATATGTGATCAGTTAGTGTGTGTGATCAGTTTGGGTGTGATCAGTTAGTGTGTGATCAGTTAGTGCATGATCACTTAGTGTGTGAACAATTAGTGTGTGTGATCAGTTAGTATGTGATCAGTTAGTGTGTGTGATCAGTCAGTGTGTGATCAATTAGTGTTTGTTTGATCAGTTAGTGTGTGTAATCAATTAGTGTGTGATCAGTTAGTGTGTAATCAGTTAGTTTGTGATCAGTTAGTGTGTGTAATCAATTAGTGTGTGATCAGTTAGTGTGTAATCAGTTAGTGTGTAATCAGTTAGCGTGTGATCAGTTGGTGTGTGTAATCAATTAGTGTGTGATCAGTTAGTGTGTAATCAGTTACTGTGTGTAATCAATTAGTGTGTGATCAGTTAGTGCCTGTTCCGTTAGTGTGTGATCAATTAGTGTTTGATCAATTAGTGTATAATCAGTGTGTGATCTGTTAGTGTGTGAGCAATTAGTGTGTGATCAATTAGTGCGTGATCAGTTAGTGTTTGTGTAATCAGTGTGTGATAAATTAGTGTCACATCAGTTAGTGTGTGAACAGTTAGTGTGTGATCAGTTAGTGTTTGTGTAATCAGTTGTTGTGTGATCAATTAGTGTGTAATCAGTAAGTGTGTGATCAATTAGTATGTGATCAGTTAGTGTGTGTGATCAGTTAGTGTGTGTGATCAGTTAGTGTGTGATCAATTAATGTGTGATTGGTGAATGTGTGATCAATTAGTGTGTGATCAGTTAATGTGTGATCAGTTAGTGTGTGATCAGCTAGTGTTTGTGTGATCAGTGTGTGATCAAATAGTGTCTGATCAGTTAGCATGTGTAATCAGTTAATGTGTGATCAGTTAGGGTTTGAACAATTAGTGTGTGATCAGCTAGTGTTTTTGTAATCAGTTGTTGTGTAATCAATTAGTGTGTGATCAGTTAGTGTGTGGACAAATAGTGTGTGATTAGCTAGTGTTTGTGTAATCAGTAAGTGTGTGATCAATTAGTATGTGATCAGTTAGTGTGTGTGATCAGTTAGTGTGTGTGATCAGTTAGTGTGTGATCAATTAATGTGTGATTGGTGAATGTGTGATCAATTAGTGTGTGATCAGCTAGTGTTTGTGTGATCAGTGTGTGATCAAATAGTGTCTGATCAGTTAGCATGTGTAATCAGTTAGTGTGTGTAATCAGTTAGTGTGCGTCATCAATTAGTATGTGTTTGATCAGTTTGTGTGTGATCAGTTAGTGTGTTTGATCAGTTAGTGTGTGTAATCGATTAGTGTGTGATCAGTTAGTGTGTAATCAGTTAGTTTGTGATCAGTTAGTGTGTGTAATCAATTAGTGTGTGATCAGTTAGTGTGTAATCAGTTAGTGTGTAATCAGTTAGCGTGTGATCAGTTAGTGTGTTTAATCAATTAGTGTGTGATCAGTTAGTGTGTGTGATCAGTCAGTGTGTGATCAATTAGTATGTGTTTGATCAGTTAGTGTGTGATCAGTTAGTGTGTTTAATCAATTAGTGTGTGTAATCAATTAGTGTGTGATCAGTTAGTGTGTAATCAGTTAGTTTGTGATCAGTTAGTGTGTGTAATCAATTAGTGTGTGATCAGTTAGTGTGTAATCAGTTAGTGTGTAATCAGTTAGCGTGTGATCAGTTAGTGTGTTTAATCAATTAGTGTGTGATATGTTAGTGTGTAATCAGTTACTGTATGTAATCAATTAGTGTGTGATCAGTTAGTATGTGATCAGTTAGTGTGTGTTTGATCAGTTAATGTGTGATCAGTTAGTGTGTGGTCAGTTAATGTGTGATCAATTAGTGTGTGGTCAGTTAATGTGTGATCAGATAGTGTGTGGTCAGTTAATGTGTGATCCATTAGTGTGTGGTCAGTTAATGTGTGATCAGATAGTGTGTGTTTGATCAGTTAATGTGTGATCAATTAGTGTGTGGTCAGTTAATGTGTGATCAGTTAGTGTGTGGTCAGTTAATGTGTGATCAGATAGTGTGTGATCAGATAGTGTGTGATCAGTGTGTGATCAGATAGTGTGTGATCAGTTGGGGTGTGATCAGTTATTGCGTGTGTGATCAGTTGGGGTGTGTTGGCTGATGTTGATGTAATCTACTCGATGCATTAGTGATGAGTTTCTGGTAGCTTCTAAACCCCCCTCCCTACCTCCACCCCAAACAGACACACACCCTGCGAGTACACACACACACATGCACAGTCTGTGCTCATTAATATTCACACCCCTCCGTATTCTGAGAACTTCAGCCCAGTTCTGGATCAGCTGGACTTTCAATGGACTATATCTACCTGTAGATATCTGGGTTCCTTCATGTTCTACCTGTAGATATCTGGGTTCATTCATGTTCTTCCTGTAGATATCTGGGTTCCTTCATGTTCTACCTGCAGATATCTGGATTCCTTCATGTTCTACCTGTAGATATCTGGGTTCCTTCATGTTCTTCCTGTAGATAACTGGGTTCCTTCGTGTTCTTCCTGTAGATAACTGGGTTCCTTCGTGTTCTACCTGCAGATATCTGGATTCCTTCATGTTCTACCTGTAGATAACTGGGTTCCTTCGTGTTCTACCTTTAGATAACTGGGTTCCTTCATCTTCTGCTTTTAGATAACTGGGTTCCTTCATGTTCTACCTTTAGATAACTGGGTTCCCTCATGTTCTACCTGCAGATATCTGGATTCCTTCATGTTCTACCTTTAGATAACTGGGTTCCTTCATGTTCTACCTTTAGATAACTGGGTTCCTTCGTGTTCTACCTGTAGATAACTGGGTTCCTTCATGTTCTACCTTTAGATAACTGGGTTCCTTCGTGTTCTACCTGCAGATATCTGGATTCCTTCATGTTCTACCTGTAGATATCTGGTTTCCTTCATGTTCTACCTTTAGATAACTGGGTTCCTTCGTGTTCTACCTGTAGATAACTGGGTTCCTTCATGTTCTACCTGCAGATATCTGGATTCCTTCATGTTCTACCTTTGGATAACTGGGTTCCTTCGTGTTCTATCTTTAGATAACTGGGTTCCTTCATGTTCTACCTTTAGATAACTGGGTTCCTTCATGTTCTACCTGCAGATATCTGGATTCCTTCATGTTCTACCTTTAGATAACTGGGTTCCTTCATGTTCTACCTTTAGATAACTGGGTTCCTTTGTGTTCTACCTGTAGATATCTGGATTCCTTCATGTTCTACCTGCAGATATCTGGATTCTTTCATGTTCTACCTGCAGATATCTGGGTTCCTTCATGTTCTACCTTTAGATAACTGGGTTCCTTCGTGTTCTACCTGTAGATATCTGGATTCCTTCATGTTCTACCTGCAGATATCTGGATTCCTTCATGTTCTACCTGTAGATATCTGGTTTCCTTCATGTTCTACCTTTAGATAACTGGGTTCCTTCGTGTTCTACCTGTAGATAACTGGGTTCCTTCATGTTCTACCTGCAGATATCTGGATTCCTTCATGTTTTACCTGTAGATAACTGTGGTCCTTCATGTTCTACCTTAGTGTACCTGCATTCTACCGTGTTCTAACCAGGAAGCTTGGGTTCTACTGTATTATACCTAAGCATGTTTGGGTTCCTTCATGTTCAACCTTTGAATGCCGGGGTTTTTCCAGGATATAAATGATGACTTTCTTCTGAAGCATTCTGCTTTTTCTGCAGCTGGGGTTCCTCATCCTGGACTTTCCTGTTGTGTTCTGCTGTTTCTGCAGTAACATGTG